CATGTAATTTCCCCGTCTGTCCTTTCATTTGAACTTTTAGCTTCTTTTTGCAACTTTTTTTGCTCCAGATTTTTTTTTCTGTCTCTGTCTTTCAGCTGATTTTTCTCTTTTGTTGTCCTATTTTCAGCAAAAGTCATCAGTTCAGATTAAACTCACATTAACAGTTTTTTTAAGCTTTTTCTGCAGCCCTCAGCGAGATCTTATTTTTTTGGTCGCACAACGCTTAGAGACCGACCTCATTGACCTCTTGGCGAACACAACATTTCTAACAGTTGTACATTTTGTTTTTGAGAAATTCTATCAGTTTTGGTCAAGTTMTTTGTGTGTTTTCGGGTCAATAATCGTTTCGATCATCGTTTCCTGAAAGTTTTATGAAAGTGAGGTTTTTGTCCGTCTGTGAGGACAAACTAACACACAAACAAAAACATTATTTCTAAAATATAAAACCRTCAGACAAATCAAAACAAACAGCTGAAGAGGAGAACATTCGGTTTTAGCCATGAAAATTAAAATGTTTCCTTAAACTTTCTTTTTTTTCTTCTTCATGCTGAACCAGAACGAGAGATTAAAGAGGAGGAGGAGGAGGAGGAAGATGAGCAGGAGGGGAGTTCCTCTGTGGACGAGCAGACACCACGACCGTCTCAGATTAAAGAGGAGGAAGAGGAGCAGGAACCACAACCTTCACAGGTTAAAGAGGAGCAGGAGGAGGAGCTGTGCACCCGCCAGGATGAAGAGGAGCTGCAGGAGGAGCTGGACACCTGGACCGAGACTCCTGGTCCTGACCAGCCTGACGCCGGCCCAGGACCCTCCAAGAAGAGATCCCAGAAGATGAAGCACAGTTCAGCCGAGGCTGGGCGGGTCTTCTGTAACGTTTGTGGCAAAGGTCTGACTAAGTCGGGTTTGCCAGGCCACATGAGGATCCACACGGGAGAGAAACCGTTCTGTTGCAAAGTCTGTGGGAAGGGCTTCACCCATCACCCCTCCTACGTTCTCCACATGAGGACCCACACGGACGAGAAGCCGTTCGCCTGCGACACGTGCGGGAAAACGTTCAGGAGGAGCGACAAGCTCCTGCTCCACGTCCGAACGCACACCGGAGAGAAGCCGTACCTCTGCAACGTGTGCGGGAAAAAGGCCTCCGACCCGTCCAGCTTTAAGAAGCACCTGGCGAGCCACGCCGGCGGCAGCAGCCTGAGCTGTAAAATATGTGGGCGGAGCTACAAATGCAGAGACACTCTGCAGCGCCACGTCAGGGCCCACACGGGCGAGAGGCCGCACACCTGCGCCCTGTGCGGGAACAGGTTCTTCAGTGCGTCGCACTTCAARCGGCACATGAGGACGCACACGGACGAGAGGCCCCACGCCTGCGACACGTGCGGGAAAAGATTCATCCGGCTGGAGCGGCTGAAGAGCCACGCGAGGATTCACACGGGCGAGCGGCCGTACGCCTGCAGCGTGTGTGAGCAGAGCTTCAGACTGAGGGAGTCCCTGAAGAGCCACATGAAGACCCACACTGGTGAGACCTCCAAGACCTGAACCCCCCTGACAGGAACAGGTTCAGGTTTTTTACTCTTTCAGCTCCTTAACGTTTCCTTTAAAACCTATAAAACTGACATCAAGCAGAGATCAGGAAACTTACCCGCCTTTYAGCCCAGAGTCTAAAAACTGATCCACTTCAGGGACCCTCCCCCGTCATCTGGGTAGAAATGAAGGGGGCGTGGCCTCCTTGCTCAGTCTGGAAAACCTGGACAAGAATTTAAAACTCCACCTGAACACGAGAAATAAACTCAGTTTATTTAGTCACGGGTTTAACAGGAAGTAAACTTTAAAAATGTTAGAATAAAAAAAATAAAAGTTATTTAGATTTTTTTGTCTTTTTTTTGGCCAATTATCTAAATGTGTAAATTTGAAAATAGACTCAAAGTTTATTTAGTCACAGGTTTAGCAGGATTTTTAAAATATAAAATAAACTTTAAATATGTGAGAATAAAATTAAAATAAAAGTTATGATAATAGATTTTTTTGTCTGATGTTTTTATTTTTGGCCAATCACATCTAAATGTATATATTTGGGGGGGAAAACATTTTGGTGTTATTCAGAGTTATTTTCTTTAATGTTTTTTCCTCCCTTTTTTTTGTTTCAAAATGTTCATCTTCTAGGTTTATTAAACTTAAAGTTTTGATTTAAATGAAAAATTGTTTTTGCCAAAATCTTTTTGAAACTTTTTGTTTCACTTGTTAAAAACTTGTATCAGTTGTCTTATGTGTTAAAAAAATCTAAAAATAAACTTTCTTCTGACCAGAAAAAAAGATTTGAACTGATTTTTTTTTCATGTTTTTAGTAAAATATTTCCCCGATTACATAAATAAGGTCTGTTCTTTTGTCCTGAAGTTTAAAAATTATAAACGGTAAAATATTAGTAGTTTTATAAACTCACTCTCAGTGGCCGGAAGTGGCCCATGGACCACCAGTTGATAATCTCAGTTGTAATCCAGCCACAGAAAATTGTAAAAGTTTAAGACTCCTGCTAGTTTTCAGCAGGAGCAGATTCTAAATTATCAGTCGACTAAACCAGAGGTTCTCAAAGTGGGGTTCCAGGACCGCCCGGGGTCTGGGAGCTGTAGCTTTGGGGTCCACAAAATAAATGACACTGTAGGGGTCGCCTCGAGTGAAGAAACAAGATTTACTGCCTYGAAGCAGGCCTCGGACAGGCCTGACGAGAGGACAGGAACTCTGTCACAAACTGAACTCTGTTTAGGCCATGACAGGTCATTCTAACCGTGGAAGAGAACCCCTCAGTTC